AAGTTTACACTGACACATGCAGTTCAGGTTAAAAACACTTCAGGAAATTTATTAGCATCTAGTTAAAAAGCGGGCACGCAGGCCTTTTTATATGCAAAATGACATCATCATTGAATATCAGATAATAACAAATAAACATCATTAATTGGGTTAAATGTTAAGTGGCTATGTCAGTGTCCACCCATTAATATTATTAATTGGCTCAGAGATTTGAGTGACTAGTGAGGCACCCTCCCATCATGGGATGTCGTCGCCATTGCTCTTTAGCACGAGGCTTACTCGGTGGAAAGGGGGGCTTGGGCGTCATTTTACGTAGTTAGTGATGTCAGTCTCGTGGTCTGTTCCAAGGTTCTTTTATGAATAGAACATTTCATTTTGTCGCTGTTCTCCTGGCCTTGGATTATACTATGTTGCAAGTCAACGGAGATCCGCTAACTCCGGGGCTAGTTATGTCCTTAGAGAGAGAAAATACAATCTCTTATTCATTATACTGAATACTGTCAGGAAATTCTGTCATGTAAGGTGAACAAAATGGAGTTAGTACAATAATTCAATACAGGTTCTAATAAAGATTTTAATAATTCTACATCAACAACATTTATAATAATGCATTTTGTAGTGGTTATGGTGCTAGGTAGCTATGCGCGTACTCCTTCATTTTTTTATTTTATTATTTTAAATGTTTCCACCATAATGCCTGTTTAGCTGGAAAGGGCATGATGATGGAGTTTAATTTCCTCATTATCAATCCAGATCTTGCATTTTTCTGTTTGGTTGAACTGAAAGGATCAATGGCGATTTGGCTCAGCCGAAAGGGGCTGTTTGGATTCAGTGCTGCCAGTTACCCCTGCTACCATAATCTGCTATCATAGTCTCCTATCACCATAACTACCATCATTAACTGCAGTAACTATGGAGATTGGAGTGCCTCTTTAACTGCTCAGGAATTGATATAAATTATACAAGAACAATCTTTATTATACACTTAACTAGTTATGTTCATGTTTCATGTCCAGAATATTTCATTAAGTTGTGCAAGTGTGTGAGAGTGCGTGTCTATTCCTAAACCTAGCCATAACCCTAGCATCTATCTTACATCAACCCTGATCCTATCTCTAAGCCTTAACTTGATCCCAGTACTATCATCGATCCTAACATAAATTATCTCAAGCAATAGAGTATCTCTACACTGAGCAACATTGAAGAAGAGTCATGGTTCTATTATACCCTGTGCAGGAAGGAAATGAAAATAAATACCCTGATACAAATATCGAGTTACCACTCTCAGTTTCCACACCTCGAGATCAATTTCATGCACATAGTTCAGTCACATTTTTGCAGAACAACTTAAACATTCCACAAGTGAAGATACAATTGTCAGAGATTTATACAGATACAAGAAGACAGGAGAGAATGTACTAACCTGAAATGAAAAAGGCAAGTAACTAAAACTGTGAAATAAACCCTTTATGTCCATATCCACAATAAAGGTGATTCATTTTTTGTAATAAGACATACAGTATGTCATCCAGGATAGCTAGTATAGCAATTAAAGAAAACTGGGGCATCCTGTGTTAGCACCTAAGTTGTCAGATGTGTTTAGTGCTTAGCCCATTCTAAGTTTCATTAAGGGAAAAAAATCTCAAGGACAGTCTGTCACCAACACGTCCGAGACATTGCTATAATCCTATACCCTTAATGTATAACAACCCTGGATACATATGTATCACTTACAGTCATATGACATTCTCAAAAAACATCCATCATGCACATTCTGAAATATATGGAATTGGAAATGAATTACTCGGATATGTATTTGATCACTTGTCCTTACTGGTTGTTACAGTGGTAAGATAAATTTGAAGGTTCAAGGATGCGTTGTTGACAGAGGTCCAACATTTGGACCATATTCAAGGTTAAATCGTAGGATAAGGAAGTGGAAAAATATTTTCTTGAAATGGGCCATCAGTTGCCTACACTTCTAATCAAATATTATTTTTTTATTATTTATATAGCGCCAGCAAATCCCATAGCACTGTACAATGGGTGGACTAACAGACACGTAATTGTAACCAGAAAAATGGACGCACAGGAACAGAGGGGTTGAGAGCTTACATTCTTGAGGGAGTGGGATATAGTGACACAAAAGGTATAAGTAGGGGTAATGAAATGGGTTGCTAGAAAAGTATTCACTGAGAACTTAGTGGGGGGGGGGGATGTAAACCCGCTAATAGCTTAAATTATATGCTTTCCTGAAGAAGTGTGTTTTCAAAGATTTTTTGAAGGAGTGGAGACTGGGTGAAAGTCTAACGGAGAAGGGAAGGGAGTTCCACAGAAAAGGTGCAACCCTGGAGAAGTCTTGGAGGCGAGTGGACAGGAAAATATCCATTGTTCTCCTTCTTGCTCCCATAGTGATTGCTTCTTTTTTAGTAATTTGTCTAGAATAGCACTTATTTTTGCCTTGATAAATCTCCCACTAAGTTTTCGATACTTTGTTGCTTCAACAGTTGTTTTTACTGCAATATTCTCTATTTCGAATATAATACTCATACTGGCACTATTTCTATAGTCTACACTACATTAAAGTAAGTTCAGAGTTTACTACCGGCTATTTTACAGTGTTGTAATAATATTACATTCAAGAGGCATGACAATTATAATATACATTTTTTAATAATTTAGTTAATTTGGAGGAATACGTAGTGAGGGTCCCTGATTGCTAATTGGTTTGTTTTTGATGTTTTGGTGATCAAATTATTTTGTCCACTCACCTAAACTTTAATAGAGTGCTGCTAGAATCAACAGATTCAAAATACAAAACTCAAAGAACACTCAACTTTAAACTAGTTTTAAGGGAATACTGTAATAACTATAACAACCTAATCTAGAAGAAGTCGTTATAGTGCCTACATTTGTATACCTTTCCTAAATTGCCCCAAAGCTATTAACTAGAAGCTTGGAAGCGCTTCTTCAAGCCACGCTTTCAAGTCCTTTGTGTATAAGAGCCTGGACTACATTTCCTGGCTCTCAAACCCTACCACTGGTATGTTACTTAGCCATGTGCAGTGCCATCACAGCCTTTCCTATAGAATCATTGCAATCTATGGCACAATCAAAATACTTCCCCAATGTTCCGTTACAATGTAAAACTAGGATGATGTCACGGCAACACCAAAAGAGACTTGGTGTTGGAGAAAGTCATTAGATTAAATTTCTTTTTTATTTTCTTTTTGCTTTTATTAATTTACACAGGGGAACTAAAATTATAAGGGACATTAGGACTGTAGCGTTAGGAATACAGATATGTATTTCTAACGCTACAGTGTTCATGTAAGAGTTGTATAGTGTATAGAATATAAAACAGCCAAAACTGGGGTATATTGATGGTTGTGACAAGCTTGTGCATGGTATCATCATATCTTCATAATTGATCCACACTGTTGTAAGTAAGTCATATGTTTTTACAAAATGGAATGTTCTTCAAAAGGTAGTGTGACGTTGAATGTGCAGGATTTTGAGAGTTTTGTACAGAACTATATATATAGGCACACACACAAAAAAATATCACTGGGGTTGTTGGTTTGGGGAGAGTGAGAGAATTGGCCTGCTCTCGTAGCTGTCGTATGCTGTGATCGTCACTCTGTATACAGCACAGCTCTGTGTTTTAATTGACTTGTTAGGCAACATCAGCTCTCGCATGTTACATTCCTTGGGTAAATGCCAAAGTTATGTGTAATATTTCAGCTGCCCTATTACTGCTTAATCCTTTCCTAATCTGTTTTTTTGCGCAACTGGGACAAAATGTTACACTAATCATTTATCAAGCTCCCATCGCACCATTTGCCAGTGAAAGCCACATTTAACGACTTATAAGGGAACTTGAGTTTCTCCTTCTTTGTCATTGAATGGAATGCCGCCCCGGACTGTTTCAGATTCCTCGGGGGGATGCATGCTCGTCCCATCACTGCACATGTGCTGACATGAATGACTAATCTACAGCTTCATATCCCAAAATAATATTTGCAACAGCGGAGTATTCTAATGCAATAATGCCCTACACATTTATCAATTCATCACAGCGAAAACGTAATTAGAAGAGGCGCCAGTGTTGGATATCAGCAACTGATGGCTTCACCGGTGGCTATGGCTGGAATAAACGTTCATCTCTAACATATCTGTTAGCTAACAAACAGTGCTGGTCTTATTCACTAAACAGAGAAGTCATATCATTTTAGACTTAGCAGTAGTTACATGTTCGCCTATATCTTGAATTGTCATGAACTCAACAGGGAATTTTAGTTTATGGGCTACTTTAGAGATGATTTTATCTCTTGTAATCAAATATATATTTTTGAATTATAATTTAGTGGGAGAGCTGCTATTTTATTATCAGAGTTCATTTTATCTTTTTTAATATAATTTAGTTTTATGGTCCGAAACTGCTGAATTGGAAACATGGACTGTTTTGTAGAATGTTCAGTTTTGGCTATTTTGGTTTACAATTTGCAATCACCTGGTAAATTCCCAACAATTCACAGATTACTACGTAATATATTGTATAATATAGGTTGCAGCAGTTTTGCAAAACAGATTTCATAATGTTGGGTGCCAAAGTTGGGTGGGGAATAATCTCGAGGTTGGCTTCAACATGAAGGAAAGTTGTTTGTTGACCAATTCATCTCAAACCTCATTGTTTTCTAATTAAGTTAATTGGCCAAGTCAGGAATTTTGGGTCAGATCCTAATGATGTCCTGACTCGAATAATCAGCAGCAATTATTTATCTGGTTCTCATACAGGAGTCCCCTTAATTGCCTTCTTGTAAATACAAACTTAGACTAACCCTTTGGATACTAGGAGACAGTATGATGAATTAAGACAAGTTCTACGTCTAACAAGTTCTGCAAGTTCAACATCATCTGAAAATGAAATAAAAATGGCATTAAGGATAATGCTATATCGGTACAGGTTGGCAGAATAACCCTAGAGTCGCTCCGATGAGCTAATCCGCGAAACGCGCGTCAGGTTGATTAGAGCTATCGCGCCTTTCAGTACCGATAGAATTTCTAGGGTTATTCTGCCAACCTATATCAGGGTGGTTAGTGCTATCTCGCCATTCAGTACCGATAGAATCTCTAGGGTTATTCTGCCGACCTATATCAGGGTGGTTAGTGCTATCTCGCCATTCAGTACCAATAGAATCTCTAGGGTTATTCTGCCGACCTATATCAGGGTGATTAGGGCTATCTCGCCATTCAGTACCGATAGAATTTCTAGGGTTATTCTGCCGACCTATATCAGGGTGATTAGTGCTATCTCGCCATTCGGTACCAATAGAATTTCTAGGGTTATTCTGCCGACCTATATCAGGGTGATTAGTGCTATCTCGCCATTCGTACCGATAGAATTTCTAGGGTTATTCTGCCGACCTATATCAGGGTGGTTAGTGCTATCTCGCCATTCGGTACCGATAGAATTTCTAGGGTTATTCTGCCGATGTATATCAGGGTGATTAGTGCTATCTCGCCATTCGGTACCGATAGAATTTCTAGGGTTATTCTGTCGACCTATACCGATATAGCATTATCCTTAATGCCTAGTTTATGCCTAGTTTAGACTAGGATTTAGGGCTACTTTTATATATCTACTGACATTCTATCTAGTTAGCTCTCGCCATTTAGTACCAATAGAATCTCTAGGGTTATTCTGCTGACCTATATCAGGGTGATTAGGGCTATCTTGCCATTTAGTACCGATAGAATCTCTAGGGTTATTCTGCTGACCTATATCAGGGTGATTAGTGCTATCTCGCCATTCGGTACCAATAGAATTTCTAGGGTTATTCTGCCGACCTATATCAGGGTGATTAGTGCTATCTCGCCATTCGTACCGATAGAATTTCTAGGGTTATTCTGCCGACCTATATCAGGGTGGTTAGTGCTATCTCGCCATTCGGTACCGATAGAATTTCTAGGGTTATTCTGCCGACGTATATCAGGGTGATTAGTGCTATCTCGCCATTCGGTACCGATAGAATTTCTAGGGTTATTCTGTCGACCTATACCGATATAGCATTATCCTTAATGCCTAGTTTAGACTAGGATTTAGGGCTACTTTTATATATCTACTGACATTCTATCTAGTTAGCTCGTAGCAACTATAGGAAAGCTATTATTTGAATACAGATATTGGACAGCATAGCAAATGTTTGAATAATGTATCACTAGGTTTCTGTGCAGTGTGGCAAATGGTGACAGTAATTATAATTAATGCTTTCATATCTATTACAGCATTTTAAGCGCTGACTCTCACTACTTGGGCGTAAACTCACGCTGTCAATTTTTCCATATTGAGTGCAGCACTGCAAGAGTTAATTGCTGATGCCGAAGTACTGTAATCAAAAGCCGATCATGGGTGCCTTTGCATTGTGCTAATTAGAGATAGTAACTACCAGTTATTCTCTTACACTACGTACAGAGTTACAAACATTAACCATTGTCACCAGGTAGTCAAACCTGGACCTTTGATCGCACTTATTTCCGCAAAAGATTGAAAGTGTCAACCATTGCAGCCTATGTACTGCATCAGGGTTATTCCAGTGAAGTTAAAGCGGCACTGTCATGCCGAACTTACCTTTCCTCAATCTCTTCATCTTCTCTCCCTCTCTCAGGACCTGTTCTTCTTTTCTTCCTGTCTTCTTTAGTTTTCTTTAAAATCATAAGACAAAGTAGGGATTCTTTGCCTTATCGAGGATTCCTCCGCTTGACCAGCTCTGACCAGCGGAGGAGCAAAGTGTGCTTCATTTCCGCTGGTTAGAACAATTTTCCCATAATTCTTACCTTTCCTCAGTGTTCCCGCGATGCTTCCTGTCATTTTAGACGAAACCGCCGAATTGCGTTCTAACTGAATGAGAACAGTATGTTCGTTTCTTTTAGAACGCAATTCGGCATTTTGTTCGGATCGCAATTTCATTCGAATGAATGAAACTCAGATCCTATTCTTGCTGTGGCTGCATCTTGCAGCCGCTTAGTAGATAACTCTCTAATTTCCACGGTATCAGGGAGTTATCTACTAAAAGGCTGAAAGACCTAAATTGGTATTTCAGCCACATTTACTAGTACTAAGTAAAGATACTAAGTAAAGACTAGTAAATGATCTGCCCCTACTCGCTATACCGCGAGTAGGGGCATGTCTAGGGGCATGTCTCAAAAAACAAAAACTATTGGCCCCCACCCCTAAACGACAGATGGGGGCCTTAAAGTAAAATAAGGGGGGAGACCTATTGTCCCCCCCGGCCCCCACCCCTGTGCGGTTGGTGGGGGTCATAATGATAATGGGGGGGACCTACTGTTCTCCTCCCCCCGGCCCCCACCCCTGGGCGGCGGGTGGGGGCCATAATGATAATGGGGGAGGACCTACTGTCCTCCCCCCCAGGCCCCTATCCCTGGGTGGCGCGAGGGGGCCATAATGATAATGAGGGGGGGGGACCTACTGTCCTCCCCCCACCCTGGCCCCCACCCCTGGGCGGCGGGTCGGGGCCAAATGATAATGGGGAGGGGGAACCTACTGTCCTCCCCCCCCTGGCCCCCAAACCCTGGGTGGCGGGTGGGGGCCATAAAGATAATGAGGGGGGGATCTACTGTCCTCTCCCCCACCCCTGGGCGGCAGGTGGGGGCCTTAAGTTAATTCCCCCCCCCCATCAAAGGTGACTAGGGGTCCCCAAGCCCCTAGTCACCCACCCCCCACCCAAATAAAAAGTCCCCTCTTTGTCATTTTACACAGCGTGGGAAAATTCCAAAGAACTTTCCCACGCTGTGTAAAATGACACAGAGCACTGTGATTGGCTTAAACCCACCAATCAGAGTGTTCTTAGCCTAATTGCAGGGCGGGCCAAGGCTTCATAAGCCTTCCCCCACCCTGCAGAGCTCAGTCTGCGCGGAGCCCTCCATGGGTGAAGATAGATATTTTTTTTGCACTTGGGTTTTTTCTTTTTCATCAGGTTTTTTTTTTGCGCTCGGGATTTTTATTTTATTTTAAGTTCAACGGTTATGATGGTTTATTATTTGGCCTTTTTTGAGGCTGAAAAATTAAGATTTTAGAAAAAAAGAAGACGTCAAATGGTAAGTTTAATTTTACTTTATAGGTTAGTAATTTTATTCCCCCCTCACAATTTTTTTAGGGTGAGAGGGGTAGGTAGGGGACTTTTTATTTGGGTGGGGGGGGTGGGTGACTAGGGGCTTGGGGACCCCTAGTCACCTTTGATGGGGGTGGAATTTGACTTAGGGCCCCCACCCGCCGCCCAGGGGTGGGGGCTGGGGGGGAGGACAGTAGGTCCCCCCCCTCATTATCTTTATGGCCCCCACCTGCCGCTCAGGGGTGGGAGCTGGAGGGGGGGAGGACAGTAGGTCCCCCCTCATTATCATTATGGCCCCCACCCGCCGCCCAGGGGTGGGGGACGGGGGGGCAGTAGGTCCCCCCCCTCATTATCATCATGGTCCCCACCCGCCGCCCAGGGGTGGGGGCCTGGGGAGGAGGACAGTAGATCCCCCCCTCATTATCTTTATGGCCCCCACCTGCCGCTCAGGGGTGGGAGCTGGAGGGGGGGAGGACAGTAGGTCCCCCCTCATTATCATTATGGCCCCCACACGCCGCCCAGGGGTGGGGGACGGGGGGGCAGTAGGTCCCCCCCCTCATTATCATCATGGTCCCCACCCGCCGCCCAGGGGTGGGGGCCTGGGGAGGAGGACAGTAGGTCCCCCCCACCTCATTATCATCATGGCCCCCACCCGCCGCCCAGGGGTGGGGGCCTGGGGGGGAGGACAGTAAGTCGTCCCCCCTCATTATCATCATTGCCCCCACCCGCCGCCCAGGGGTGGGGGCCTGGGGGGGAGGACAGTAAGTCGTCCCCCCTCATTATCATCATTGCCCCCACCCACCGCTCAGGGGTGGGGGCCGCATAGTAGGTTTTTTTTTTTTTTTTTACAGTGAGCAGCCACAGGCTGCTCACTGTTTAGTGGACATGCCCCTACTCGCGGTATAGCGAGTGGGGGCATTGGGGATATTTTGATCTCCCTTGCACTATTATGGGGGTCATATTGACCCCCATAGAGTGAGGGGGGACCTGGGGGGCTTATGAAGTGGTGGGGAGCACTGCTCCCTGCCGCTTCTATAGTTACATATTACAAGGAAGGAGCTGCGTGCCGGTAGCTCCCTCCTTGTAACAAACTGCACGAACAAACGAACACTGATACACAGTGTTAGTTTGTTCATCTGATTTTTCTATTCATTCATTCGTCTTTCGGACTAATGAATGAATAGATGAAATTCCCGTTCGCATGTCCAGGTGTTTCACTGGGCATGTGCGGGAATCTCACAGCTCTATCTAGTGTGGGCAGATGACGTGTCCCACAGGGACTTCATCTACTACACAAAGATGGCGGCGCCCTGAATATAGATCAGGGCATAAAATAAAGAATAAAAAATAGGTAATATGGGGGGCTTAGGGGCATTTGGGAGTGAGTAGGGTGTCAATTAGAGATAGTGGAGGCGGGAGGGGGGTTAAAAAATAAAACAGGATTCGGCATGACAGTGCCGCTTTAAACCGAGAGTATAGATATATTTCTGGCTCTATTATCTGTCATTTGGGTGATAACCCGTAGAGGAGAGTATTTCACTTTACTTTTGTCAGCAATTCAGCCTACAGTAGAGACTGATGAACATCTTTCACCAAACCTCATAATATCTGCCCGTTTTATATTCCTAGGATCGAATAGCCTATCATTTATACAGTGCAGCACGTTCATTGTAATCATCCTCATTTCCACATTAGATACTTTGTGTGCCTCTAGTAACAGTAACTATTGGGTCCACTATGTTACATCAGGCATTAACCCAGAGAAAGCTGGATAGCTGCTAAATTTGTGCAATAGCTCTACCACTAGGTGTATCTACATGACAATTAGCCCTATCTACTGTAGTGAATATGTATCTGCCTCATTTATGGCAATTATGATATAGATATCATTGCACTACATATACAAAACGGGAATTATTAGCCCCTTTATTATAGCCATTTAAATCGGTATATATTTATATTTGTGTGGTTTTTTTCCATTTCTTTCTTTTTGTCTCTTTTTTATTTTCACTTAGATTACCTGTACATAGAGTGTTGCATGCTGTGTGTTCTCTGTCCAACTTGGACTTTTAAAAAACTACTCAGTAAATACTTGTTTTTAGATATATTTTGTTTAATTGTTACCCTCTCCATTTCTTTTTCTTTTCTTCCGACATTTAAAAAAAAAATCTATATCTATATATTATACATTTGTCAAATATATTGTATGTAAATGTAGACTTTATTTCCCTCTTTTGCTCATTTCTCACTTGGTCTGTGAATAAAACATTTAGTGGTTGTCCCCTAACCATCAATTAACTTTTTTTTCTAGCAATGATCTCACGGGCAGAATTCTGAATCACAAATCAAAACAAACATGTTTGTCGATTCTTCAAGTTGTTTGTTTTGTGATTACTCTATATGGTGGTTTGGAAATCAAGAATTCAGACAATCAACTGATCGTCCCAAATTCAGACAAATTGGCGTTCATGTTGAAAAGAATCCCAGAGTGTGATCGGGATTGCTCTTTATGTAACACGGTCAATGTGTCTAAAGTGAAGATGAAGTGTCTGTTGCGTGTGAACTGAAGACAAGTGGTTAATGAAGAGGAAACAGAGGACAGAGGTCATTACAGTAGGATAAAGTATTTCCTGAGGGACAATTCTCATGTAATCAGAATCCCATTTTTTTGACGAGAGTTCACACAGCCGGATAACCGCTGTTAGCAAAGCAGGAAGCAGTGTTCGACATCTCCGATATCAGATGAATTGTACAAGTTCAATGACACAGATTGTCAAACCCCAATTGCCGTTTCCAAACCAGGAAAAAATAGGCCCCCACCTTATTATTTAGTGCTCTCACCCACCGCCAATGGGTGGGAGCTGGAGCATACAATAGGTTCACCCCCTATTACTTAGGAACCCCACGTACTGTCAGATTCCAATACTGACAAGCAAGACTTTTTCATTAATTACTGGGCCTTTAATTACAATTCCTGATCTTCGCCTCTAGTGGCCTTCCTAGGCACTAGTCACCTCAGACTCTCACCTGGATAAACTTACAATCAAGTCTGCTGTAAAAGGCCACACTCTATAAGCCAAGTCGTCTTGACTATGTTTCTATGACATTGAAGTTAGTGTTCCAACTAAGAACTTCAGATCCTGGCTCCTGTAAAAAACCTTGCATCATCCTGTACTTACCTGAATTGCATCATACCGAAAGGTACTTACCTGCCTTAACTACTTCAACTCTGCATCATCCTGTACTTACCTGCCTTAACTACTTCAACTCTGCATCATCCTGTACTTAGCTGCATTGTATTATACCGAAAGGTACTTACCTTCATTAACTACTTCAACTCTGCATCATCCTGTACTTACCTGCATTGTATTATACCGAAAGGTACTTACCTGCCTTAACTACTTCAACTCTGCATCATCCTGTACTTACCTGCCTAAACTACTTCAACTCTGCATCATCCTGTACTTACCTGCATTGCATTATACCAAAAGGTACTTACCTGCCTTAATTACTTCAACTCTGCATCATCCTGTATTTACCTGAATTGCATCAAACCGAAAGGTACTTACCTTCATTAACTACTTCAACTCTGCATCATCCTGTACGTACCTGCATTGCATTATACCGAAAGGTACTTACCTTCATTAACTACTTCAAATCTGCATCATCCTGTACTTACCTGCCTTAACTACTTCAACTCTGCATCATCCTGTACTTACCTGCCTTAATTACTTCAACTCTGCATCATCCTGTATTTACCTGAATTGCATCAAACCGAAAGGTACTTACCTGCCTTATTGCTTCAACCCTACATCATCCTGTACTTGCCTGCATTGTAGCATACCACAAGGTACTTATCTACTTGAATTACTTCAACCCTACCTGGATATCAAAAACTTTATTTAACTTACAAATATCCTGTTTTGTGGCATATTGCCTTAATTCTGTTTTCTCTCAAGTTGTATACTAGGTCTAAAAGCACCAATAAAGTTTCAATTAACAAACCTGACAATTGTCTCCTATTTGACCTGCCCAGGGACATGACACATACTGCCAATGGGGGGGACAATAGGTCCATCCCCCTTTGTTATTTATGGCACAGAAACTGGGTGGAGGCTGGGGGGGAAACTATGTCTCCCTGTTTATTCTATTTAGTAGCCCTGTCTGGAAGGGGAATGCAAAGCCCCCCACTTATTTTAATGGCCCACACTCACAAGGCATGGGGGGATACTATGTCCCCCCAGTTAATTATTTTAGTAGGTGCCCACCATAAGGGTATAGACTAATACCACCTAGGCAGCAACAGCAAGCAGTCGCTGGCAAGCCCACAAGTGTACCAATTTATGTTATCTACTAAACAACTGCAAGACGCAGCCTCGGCCTACAGCATGGACGGAAATTCCATTTGTCCAAATGAAATTCCAAAATGAAAATAAAACAGAATTTCATCCAAAACGAATGAACACACTGACAACATTCAGTTCAGATTAAACATTTTATTTCTGCCGAACACAAAAATGTTGGCGGTGCCCAAGTTTAGTATTCACTAAGAAGTTAATTGTTAATTATATATTTCCTACCTGTTCTATGTTAAATTTTGTATATATTGTGTATTAATATTGTTTTTGTATTTTATTGTGCCCTAATGTAACAATGCAAGGACTTGTGGACCCAGGACATACTTGAAAACGAGAGGAATCTCAATCTATCTTTCCTGGTAAAATATTTTATAAATAATAATAATAATTGTAGTAAATTGGTAATGGGATACTCAACCACTACAGCACCCATAGATTTATTTTTATATCAGCTATTTCAGCATACATTTTATATCTGTGTTTATAATTAGATTTTTTGTGGATAGATCTACATGGTTTTTATTCACATTTGAAGCCAAACAAGCTGATCTGGAAATAAACCTGATATGGGGGGGAGGGGGATTCCCAGCATGCTTGCTAGAGGCCTAAATTATGCAATTTGTAAAGGAGCCTACTATAGGCATGTGTATTCCTGACCCTATAGGGTTAAAACCACCATCTAGCCCCCTGGTCCCCTCATGCCTCCATAAATATAGTAAAATTCTACTTCTATTCAAGTCTGCAGCTGCTTACTTTGTCCCAGTTTCCTTTAGACCTGCCCACTGCCTGCTGACATCAGCAGAAGTGGTAGACTGATCCAATCACAATGCTTCCGCATAGGATTGACAAAGAGGCAGATCTCCTGCAGAGCCAGCACAATTTAAACACAGCCCTGGCCAATCAGCATCTCCTCATAGAGATGAATTTAATCAATGAATCTCTATGAGGAAAGTTCAGTGTCAGCATGCAGAGGGAGGAGACACTGAATGTTTGGATGCATTTTAGGCAGCCATGACCCAGGAAGGCTCTCTAGCAGCCATCTGAGGAGTGGCCAGTGAAGTTATCACTAGGCTGTAATGTAAACACTGCCTTTTCTCTGAGAAAAGACAGTGTTTACAGCAAAAAGCCTGAAGGTAATGATTCTACTCACCAGAACAAATTCAATATGCTGTAGTTGTTCTGGTGACTATAGTGTCCCTTTAATGTATAACCCCTGTGTGTTGTTGTAAGTGTGACACAAAGCAGTCCTGTAGGATTTACAATGTGAAACTACAGCTAAATCAGAGCAATAACTCAAAGTATAATGGCATCCTGCAAATTCATTCAGTATTGTGTCTTATTTTTCTCAGAGGTATTCAGCACTGTCAGCAAGAGGTCAGCAGTGCATTGGCAAATAAAGTGCCACTCACCTGACTTGACCCCAGAATTCGAAGTGCACTCATGCATATATTGAGATTTTATGGGACTAACATGGGGAGGTCTATTCACAAAGAATCATATAACAGCCGGATCTGTTTTCACCACAAGCTTGCTATGTTCAGGAAATCACAAAAGGAACATTTGGTTATTTCTGCCATTTGAAATTACTGTTCTCTATATGATTTTGCAAATTCCGCTATTCACAAACTGAATTCCAACATAACTGACTTGATTCATATAATTCATTTTCCCTGATCGAGTCAAGGGAAATTGCACCCAAAATGCTACTCAACCCCCATAGCCTAACTTACAGTGCTCAGCCTGCATGCCATTGCTTAGAAGCCATAGCCACATTTTCACTCTCTCCACCTTATACTACACAGCTTGCTCGTTAGCAACCACGACATACAGTGCATAACAACAGTGTTGCATTGCCACAACGAGCAAAATCCATGAATTTTTGGCACAATAATCAGGGATAAACCTCAAAAAGTGCTAATCAGGAAAATAAACTTGCTAGTAAGACTAAAACTGTCTGATAGTTTACTAACATAAAAAAAAAAAACGGAGTTGCAGTAAACGTGGTTATTTTACTTTATGAAATAACATGAATATACTTCTTTCTGGATTCATGAAACTAAATAAAATATATATATATATGATTTAACCCACAGATATAAAGATGTGAGCTGAGGTCAGCCACTTTTGAAGGAGAATTTATTTACATTATAATTATTCTATTATTATTATATTCCTACAGCACTAACATATTTGTCAACTCTAAACAGCAAGCAAAATTCTATTTGCATGTAACTATTATTAACATATTGGGAAAATAGGAGATAAATGATGATGATGCCCCAGATGAGCTGACAGTCTAAAGGGAATGAAGTATGAAGGTTGGTTACACAAAAGAATAAACATGTTATGTATTAAGGATGAAACATAAATTGCTAGGTGTAGCAACAATATTAATTATTGCATAAATAGATAACCTGAGTGACAAGATGGAAAAATAATTAGAGCTAGCGAGGGCAAATTGTCCAAGGTGGGTAGACTGCAATAGGAAGATAATTTAAAGGGTTTACATGTGGTTTACAGGTAGATCTCCCTAGCAAAGTGGGTTTTAAGGATTTCTTTAATGGACAGTAGTGTGAAGCACGGTCAATCAGCAGTAACACAGCCAGCAGACAAATCTTGATATAAAATGATTATGCAAGGACTAATGAGGGTTAGTCTATCAATTCTATGTAAAATTAGTCAGACAGTACAGGCATTGAGTACGGAACACTATGAAAGGGGCAGGTCTGTATCTCAAGAGGGTATGTGTATACCCATCAAGGGGGAGAGCCTTTCTGTCAAAGTGGAGGGTCTGCCCGTTGGCTCACCTGTCAAAGTGGCGGGTCTGCTTTAAGGGGACAGGCCCACGTGCCACCTGGCTTCTGAAACACTTTGTGCCCAATTCCCATCTGCTAACAGATATGTAAATGTAGATTATGTCCCTATTACCTATCTTTGCTGGGACAGCACCCCAAAATGAAGAGCTGTCCGTGTAAATCCGGGTCTGTTGGCACCTATGATAGCAGGCAATTGGGGCAGCCTTCATGGTTACACTCTGAAAACACAGATGTGTTATACCTATATATAATTTATGCTACTATTATTAGTTCCATTTTGTTAATGCTTGATTTCTAGATAAAGTACCATTATAGTGTTAGGCATACAAGCATGTATTACTAAAACTATAGTAATCCTCTACCTATCCTCTACCTAGGTGTTCACCATCTCTTGGGGGGGTTTAAAATGTAAGATTTACTTACCTTACACCCCGCCGCATGCTGGTTTCCATGCTGGCAGTCCACCTCCCTGGCCGGAAAGATCAGTCTCAATAATCTCTACAGGGAAGCATTGGGAGGCTAATGCACCTCCATGGCAAAGCGCAGTTCTGTGCTAATCAGATGCTCCTAATGAAGGTCATTTCAGCTACAACTGAGTTTAACTTACAGCAGTGGAAGTGCCACTCGTTCCCGCCTTTCTGACTGCCACTAGAGGCATGTTAACCCTGAAATGTAAACATTGCTGTTTCTGCAAAAAGGCAAAGTGTTGCAGGGTTAACAGAAAGGGACATGGCACTCAGACCACTTCATTAAGATCAACTGGTCTTGGTGAAACAAAGTCCTTTTACTCAAGGTTAAGCAGGCACGCAAGGACCATAACTACTGTAGCTTATTGCAGACATTGAAGTGCACAGAATTTTTTTTTTTTTGTCAAAAAGTTTTTTTTATTAAAATTACAAAACGTGGGGCCAAACCTGGGACATTTCAAGCTTTTTAATAAAGAGGTGAAACAAGAAAGCAACCATAATGTTTTATTTTTATTTTTTAACACTGCAATAAGTCGGGTCTTACAAAACTCATTATGTCATGACAGTCGTAGCATTAAATGTAACATGAAGGTGTTAAATAATGTGTTACATTTTCCAATGTCCCTTTATTGTGACCTCACTGCAAGTACATAATTTTGTAAGCTCACACGTTATTGTCCCTTTTGTAGCGATATCTCCATGTCATTCTGTCCTTATCCCCCAAATATACAGTGCTGAGGAATCTGTGACATATAAATAATCGTTGCAGAGGAAACATAAGAAAGTCGGACTAACAAACACGTATTTGCAAGACAAGTTGGACGTACAGGAACAGCAGGTGCCGAGGGCCCCGCTCTAACAAGCTTGCGTTAAGGAAGTTCTATTTACAATTCCGTGCAGAGAATTTGAAGTGTTTATCCAGGATGGTTGCCTGGATCACCCCGGGGTATTTGCAAATGTAAAAGTCATCTCTGTGTATCTCAGAGCAGCAATGCGTAACTTGCTGCCGTTCTTAGTTCATTACTCAGCACTTGCAAACTGATACCTGTTTCACAGCACCTTGAAACCAAATTTGGAAGTCAGAACAAGCAGTACTCGGCATCAGTGTATCTAAAAACCTTTTTAGGTTTGGTAGATAAACTGGAATATCATAAATCTTTTGATACTGTCGTACAAGCATGCAAAGTTTAAAACCAGATTATAGACCGCAAAAAAAAAAAAAAAATAGTTTTTGTTTTAAAGGGCAAACATTGCTTACCAGTACTTGTAATACTATCTCAACTCACACGTGACTGGGTGTCAGGAACTCAAAGTGGATTCAAAAGTCAATTTCAAATTTAGGGGTAAAGTAACTGAATCTAAAGCATTCCTGAAAACTTTTCCAGTTCTGTTGTTTTGGACTTAAATTTATAATTCACGTTGATTTTCTGACATTTTTCACTCTAGTTAAAAACATTGATAGTGTCAAGGCTCATGCTGCTCAACAATTCAAATCACTAACTCTCAAGTAAAGAAAAAACATAAATCAGTTCAGCTGTTTGACCTCTGCCGTCCCTGGTGCAGAGGTCAGATTAAAATAAAAAAAGTAACTTTGCTGAGAATTTATGTCCCAACAAATGAAGTGCAAGACACTGCCAGTCCCTGCCAGACTATCATGCTCAGTGAAATTCTGAGTAATGTGAGTTAAAATGTATCTCTGATTTTATGGTATAGTGTTTTAATGCAGGTGTATTTGGACATAGCTAAAGTCTGCCTTTGTGAGGTCTGAAAAATAAAGTGAAATGCATAAATCCACGGTGTTGTATGTACTTCTCTATGTTTTTCTAGCACATTCGTCTTGTCATTTGTTGCTACAAACTCTTTGTTTTTTATCTGCCAGTCTGCATAAAGAGAGTGCCATGCATGCCATGGCTATGTCAGGAATGAACTGGATAATGATGTCAATTGGCATATCTTAAATATATATTTAAAGGGAAAACAAAGCATCAGATGATAAAAATGTAGTGTAATATTTCAAGAAGTTATTGTGGCCCTTTGAACAATAAAAACACATTCCACAGACAGCCGTTGCCGTTTTAAAGGCCATCTTTTGTTATAGTTATGCAAAGTTGTTATGGTGCTTCGGCCAACTTATCCTCTGGGGCTCCATTACATGCCAAGCTGACATTTGTTCTGGCTTTGTGAAAAAAAAAAAAAAACTGTTACAAAAGCAAAAATAAATCTGAGTGAGTATTTAGTAAATCTCAGATTTTGCGCTGTATTTAGAAACAGCATTTCTGGAGCAGAGTGCAAAGTTTGGCGTAATTACCATGGAAACAGATTGAATGTGTTTTAATCCACTTTCTGATCAAAGCACCGCTGTTAGCAAACTTGGCCCAGAAATGCTCACTATTAAGAAACTTCATACAAAAATATACGCAAGACCTACCTGTATGTACTTTATGTTTGAGTAACAACAGGTATCAGCAAGAAATCTTTAACAAATTAATCAGTTTCCAAAATGATGTCAGCTTTATTTATAACTTCCAGGAAATAATTTAATATTGTGATGTAAAATTCCTATCTCGTTGCGAAGGTATATCGCAATGCTGGCATTTCGGTTTGTCACAGACAGGTCAGATTCGTGTGACCCAATCAATTAGGAAGCTAATGACTTATATACAAGGCATGAATGGCACAACTTTCTAAATCATTGCTCTAGAAACGTACGTGTATTTAAAGCACTGAACATGCATATTTAAAAAAAATAATAATAATCTGAAATTTGACATTGCTTATTTTGCAACGTCAGTGAGTGTACTTAGAAAAAAAGGAGGGATTTTTTTTTTTTTTTTTTAAGGACCATTGCTCACATTAATAGTATCCCTCCCTGATTTCCACTTATTTTATATTGAGGTATATGAATTGTGGAGACTTAAAGGATCAATCCAAATTCCATGACAACTTCTGTTTTTGGAAGTGGTCGTTGTGGTAGGAATCTCTATGTGCAGCGTTTCACTATGAAACGCAACACATAGAGAAATATGTGCGCTAGTTGGAACCCTCAAGCACCATCAGCCTACCATTCTGAATTATTTGTTTTTTGTTGTTTTTTTTTTTTGTTTTTGTTTTTTTTTTAAGTCCCCACCCTTTTATTAGGTTGGACTATCTTTCTCCAATTGTCTCATCACTACGGGCTCCCTCATTAAAAACACTAGAATGAGAATCCACACAAATTAGTTAGACGTTGTACAGCATCAACACGTCATATATGCACATAAAAAACATAACGTCACACAGTAAATAATGAGTTTATAGCGTTACGAAATTTTCTTCAAACTGCTATAACGCTAACTTAAATCTGGGATATTGACGGAGCTTCCTGCAGTCGAACAAGGTAGTAGTGGTGTAGAGACTGGTATTGATGTGCAATCACAAATGGTCACTCACAATTTTGAAGAGTTAAGATAGCCTTGAATGATGTCTTTATGGAGTAAAGCAGCTTTAAATGGTGTTTTTCAATATCCAGTGTGTTGTCCCTCCTCACATATTCATCAGCAAATAGATATATATGTCTCAAAGAGAGAAAATGTACAAAAATGTAGTGCACTTCCAGAATATGATAAAAAATATATTTAATGACTTACATTTAGGTATAAAACAAACAGCATATCACCATACACGTCCTACGCGTTTCGTCCTGAAATTGGACTTCCTCAGGGACTTGGTGTAATAAAGTGCAATCAGAGATAGCAGCAATAGTAACAATATCCCCCCCACAGTCCTTTATATACACCCCCATTTGATGTTTGAAATCTTTCAGCTGATGTTCAATTTTCATTTCGGCGGTATGGAATCGAGTGACGTCATCGTGTACACCGCGTGCGTTCCACCTTGCGTTCCACAGACCCGGAAGTGGGTCACGATCGTCTGTCTCTTTCTCCTATTTTAATGCATTGACTCAAAGCATATGCAGACAAGTGGATAAAACGGAAAGGGGAGGGGCAGGTAGTTAAAAAAATATATACTCTGGATGGCACTACAAACCGAATAAAAAATGTACATTCTCAGTGTGGTCTATAGTTGTGGACACATATGCATATATATATATATATATATATCCCGTTTTCATTGAATACAAATTTTACAAAACATTTTCTCACATTTGTCATACACATTCCCTTCATATAATTTATATGGAGATAATATCTTATTACATAAAATGCATGAATAATAATATGATCTGACATCTTGGATAATTAAAAAAATATAGCGAACAGTATACATACATATGTAATATATAAACAATAATGTAAGTGATATAACCCATTTACATTGCACTTTCTATCTCCTTCTTAAAGGTAAATGAAATAAATTTATATATTTATAACCTAAAATAAGGATAAATAAATATGTAAATATAATAAAAAATAAAATAAAAGTGAAAAATAAAAAATAAAAATTAAAATTAAAAATAAAAAAAAATTTATTTTTATCTTTATTTTTTATCTTTATTTTTTATTTTATTTTTTAAATTTTAATTTTAATTTTTAGATTTTATTATTTTTCACTTTTATTTTATTTTTTATTATATCTACATATTTATTTATCCTTATTTTAGGTTATAAATATATAAATTTATTTCATTTACCTTTAAGAAGGAGATAGAAAGTGCAATGTAAATGGGTTATATCACTTACATTATTGTTTATATATTACATATGTATGTATACTGTTCGCTATATTTTTTTAATTATCCAAGATGTCAGATCATATTATTATTCATGCATTTTATGTAATAAGATATTATCTCCATATAAATTATATGAAGGGAATGTGTATGACAAATGTGAGAAAATGTTTTGTAAAATTTGTATTCAATGAAAACGGGATATATATATATGTATATGCATATGTGTCCACAACTATAGACCACACTGAGAATGTACATTTTTTTATTCGGTTTGTAGTGCCATCCAGAGTATATATTTTTTTAACTACCTGCCCCTCCCCTTTCCGTTTTATCCACTTGTCTGCATATGCTTTGAGTCAATGCATTAAAATAGGAGAAAGAGACAGACGATCGTGACCCACTTCCGGGTCTGTGGAACGCAAGGTGGAATGCACGCGGTGTACGCGATGACGTCACTCGATTCCATACCGCCGAAATGAAAATTGAACATCAGCTGAAAGATTTCAAACATCAAATGGGGGTGTATATAAAGGACTGTGGGGGGGATATTGTTACTATTGCTGCTATTTCTGATTGCACTTTATTACACCAAGTCCCTGAGGAAGTCCAATTTCAGGACGAAACGCGTAGGACGTGTATGGTGATATGCTGTTTGTTTTATACCTAAATGTAAGTCATTAAATATATTTTTTAACATATTCTGGAAGTGCACTACATTTTTGTACATTTTCTCTCTTTGAGACATATATATCTATTTGCTGATGAATATGTGAGGAGGGACAACACACTGGATATTGAAAAACACCATTTAAAGCTGCTTTACTCCATAAAGACATCATTCAAGGCTATCTTAACTCTTCAAAATTGTGAGTGACCATTTGTGATCGCACATCAATACCAGTCTCCACACAGTTATACGCTATGTTTTTTTGTTTTATTTGTATTTAGCAGATTGTCCCCTATTTTTCTGTGTATATCTATTGAAGACAAGAGGAAGTCTTCGGGGATTCATCTGGATACTTCACCTTAAGATAAGGGAAGTTTTGGTTTGCTCCTATATTATATCATTTTCACTGGGGTTGTGTTCACATATATTGTTGTTTTCTCAGTAGTGGTGTAGAGATGGTCCATTTAAAATTGACACTCAGGGACTTCTTTTCTAATTCAGAAGTTTTAAAAATGTTTCAATAAAAATCCAGATTTTAGGCCAAAATGGTAAAGCAGTTGCCATTTAATTTTTTTTATTTTTTTCTCTTTTGACTTAAAATTTGCATTTTTGAGTCAATTTTCCACATGAACCGCATTATACATAATGCATCCATGTTTTTATTTTAGTAATGTAAATTTAAGTATCTTGTGAATTTGCATACAGTTCTGCATATTTGATTGTGGTTTTGTTGAAACAATATTCCCTGCCGTGTTGTAAAAATCTTATCTCTCTTCAATGACACTCAGATAACTTGATAACTTTCACTAACTTTATTATTCCTCATTATTTAACAAATTATAGCGAACAAACATCAAAATACATGCTTTAAGACGATCTATAAAACATGTAAACAGATGTGGTTGTTTTTTTTGGTATAATTTTTTTTTCTCATTTCCAGGTTTTTTTTAAAAAAAAATAATTATTTTTTATTTAAAAAAACAAATGAAAGAGCCTCTGTATCACATCTGAACTTTAAATTCTACTTGGCATTTTCGCATTTTGGATTTGAGAAAGAATCTCCACAAAGCGTGTTATTCCAAAATTCTGCTAGTCCAATAAAACAATGGTATTGCAGGATACTACTTTAGTCTCTTATTTTATATTTGCATCCCAGCTACAATCTCTATCCAACACTGTAGATATATAGAGATATATATTTCATTATTTGGGACTGTGGAGCTAGAGCAGTGGTTCCCAACCCAGTCCCCAAGTACCCCCTATCACTCCAGGATTTAGGGGTTACCCAGTTGTATCTAAGGTGTTTTTAGAAAGAAAAAAAAAACTCTTTAGACAGAACAGGGTAATCCCTAAATCCTGGACAGGTAGAGGTTACTTTAGGACTGGGAACCACTGAGATAGAGGATTATATTTTGAATGACCATCATTTAGGCTACAATATTCCTGAACAGAAAACAGAAAAAGAAAAGATTCCTTAAAGTATCCTAAAACAGTAAACATTTTGGCCCTGAATTGTTAAACAGGAAATGTAGAAAACAGAAGTTGACTCCTGTATCTTAGGTGTGAGGTCCACTTTGCTAAACAGCAAACATAGTCTTTGGTCTGTATTCTCCTCCTTGTTTTAACAAGCAGAAGAGGCCCATTATATGCAAACATTAAATATGGGATATGCGCCCATCATATGCAAACATTAAATATGGGATATGCGCCCATTATATGCAAACATTAAATATGGGATTTGCATATAACAGTGTGAGTTTATGTTTCTAAATATCGCAAATATTGTAGGGGTTGCTTTGTGATGATACCGACCATGGTTCTCACGAGTAAACCCTCTGCTTTGTCCCAAACACGTCAACATGCAAGTTTTGCTTTATGTTTAGTGAATAAATTATCTACAGTGTTTTCTGTAAACTTTAAATAACTAAACATGAGTTTAAAAAAATAGTCCCTGCGAGTTGTACAGCAGCATGGGAAGTGAGCCGTGTACATGTCGTAGCCACTGGTCGATGCGTTCATATGGAAAAAGTTTTGATGCATATCAGATTGTAAGAATTTGGAAAAAAACGTTTTCCTATTTAGGAGGGACAGTCCTTAGTTTGGGCACAAACCACTCTGTCCCTCTTTTCAAGGAGCTCCATATTCTTGGTGTGTCTGGGTGTGTAGCAGAGCTCCACAGCAATAATACTCCCACTAATGTGTCTTTAGACTACAATAAATGGGTTTAGAAACCAGTCTGTGTAAATGAGATACATTGTTCTTATTCTAAATTACATTTTAGCTGCACAAATTGCTATTAGTAAGCTCACCTATATTTGTCAAAACAGCCCTGCCTCTGGCCCCACCCTGACTCACACCCCTAAAATCCAAGTGTCCTTCTTTGTCTATCCAACATTTTTAAAATGCTGTCCATGAGAGGTTTACTGGCTTTGTATCTCTTCCTGAGTTGTGTTTCAAAGCTGTTGTATACAAACTCCAAGGAATCCATGATTAAAATGAAATAAGTGGGCAAAAATGTGATTCTTTGTTGAACTCATTTCCATGTGCCTACCCAGAATCCCTTGCAGTAGTAAAATCACTGCAAATTTTAGATTTTTGTGAAAAAAGCAAGTCTTATGGCTTGACTGGTGTGTGCAGATCTGTGTTTAACAATGTATTGACTAACATTTTTGGAGGTATGCAAGTGTGGCACATTAACCCAATGAATGGGCACCATTCATGCCAAAAAGGTGATGATGCAAATAATAAACGGTCTTTCTAGAGTTTTGTCAAGAACTGGTAATATAAAATAAAATACTGTGACCAATTCTTAGCCATATCAGCGTGCTAAGTGCTGGGCTGTGAGCTATGGAAAGAAACCTTAATACCTGCACCAGTTCTCTTGATCTGCTAAGAAGTAGTTAAGAAAGGGTCACTACCTACTACTAATACTACTAAGAATCGCCATGGAAACCAATAGAATGAAGGAAAACATTGCATTCTTTTAGAACTTTTTACACATGATGGCCACTGTAAGACACAGTGTGAGTAGGTCTTCACTATGAAAAAGAAAAGGTTAAAAAATACAAAGAAACTTTAAAAAAAAAATATTTATTACAACGTACTTACAAATTGAACAATAATTATTTTTGAACATATTTACACAATAGTGTTTTCTGTAATTTTTTTTTCAGCAAATGCCTACTGTCATTATGTACAACGTATCACAGATACAAAAGTCAAACAACCGTGTAGCTGTTAGTGCAAAAGAGGCCACGGGTCCTCTTGGTTTAGCTCACGATTTACTTTGTGACAGTTTTGCCAACAGTTATTCACATTACAAATCTCTGCTCTACGAATTTTATCTCTCAATGTACAACAATAACAAAAATAAGAAATAAAATGGAGGGGGAAAAAAACCATATCTGTCATTTGCAGTTCCTCTCATGCATAATTTTGAAAAGAAAAAAAGACTTAAACCTGCCTTCTTCAAGACATTTTCGTTAATAGGTACTAGAGCATTTTTGTTTAATTTTTGCAGATACCTCATGAAGGGAAAGTAGGAGGGGCTAAATGATGCTCCACCTGATTTGCGTGAGTCTTATTTAAAAGTTTCAAAAGTAATTTTATAAGGGAAAATAATAGATTTTTTTTAACTCAATCATTATAGAATGTTGAGCCATGCAACAATATATATGATTTATGCGCCTAAAACAAGAGTTAAAATGACAGGCTGAATCGTCACACATATGCATATCTCCGTTTTGGTCCTAAAGCTGTGTACAAAACAGCAGGGTGGTCCAAAAGGAACCACAATATTGTGTGCTCTAATTTGCATGTCGCTGCATGGTATTCTGGGAGTGTGGCAGAAATTCTTTACTCTCTAAAAAGTGTTGTTTACCTTATTTTGTAATAATGGACACCATTTTATATCTGAGATATAATGACTACACGGGAAACATTATATTGTTACCAAATTAAATTGTGAACATCTAACAACCTTCCTTTTATTGCAATGAAGTAAAATAAATTGTCTGACTGTTATTGGACAAATCTCCTCCAATAACAGTAATTGCAAATCTTTTGTTCTTTTTATTTTTATTTTTTTTAATTATTACCAACCACTGCACTAACACAATTAAAGCAGAACAGCTTTCTAAAATCCATGCTAAATCACAGGGACTTAAACCAGGTGACATTTTCTTTTTTAAGGTCAGTCTAGATTTCATTTCCAAGATCTTTGTTTAACTATGAGAAATAGGGAAATAGATTGGCTCCAAAACATTTGGCAATTGCAGGAAAACCAAATTTCACTCGAATTTTAGCACCATGACCACAACGCAACCATATATTGCAATTTCTTATGACTCGTAGAGTTAATGTGTTATAAAACAGATATGTAATAATTATTTTGATTTAGAACAGGAAATTTTATATTTAACCAATGATCCAGTGAAAAATAAATCAGCTACAGAAGGAGTATTTCATGAAACACCATAAAAGTTTGATCCTCCGATGGACAATGTAGGGGTGCAATGTTTACTGCTTTTGGTAGTCACAAAATTGTAGGGTTAATCAGCATTGAGACCATCACAATGTCAAATTATACTAATACAGTCCATTTCATTGTGATCTCAAATTTGAATGAATGAATGAAACTCAAATTGTTACTGTGGCGATTTTTCTTTTTAGAAAAAAAATGAAATTGAAAATCTTAATTTGAAGAAAAGCAAAACATTTTCCCCAGAGCTCTTGCAAACTGTATAATTATTGGCAAAGTCAGTAGGGTGCATAATAAAATTGGCAAATACAGCAAGGCCTCGGCACCATGAGGTCAACATTTGTAGTTTTTTTTTTTTTTGTTTCAGTCCCAAGACCAATCTGCCACATAGGTACAGTCAATGAGGACATAGAATTCCTGGAAGCGGGGATGAGGACTAGCAGAAGAAGGAATCTATATCATCATAGTTTTGGGGTATATCGGGTACGAGCTGGTCCGTACTGCTAGTGTTTGGATCTGCGTACCCTGGCTGAGACGCTGCTTCAAACCAGGGGTGTAATAAAATCTCTTCTGCAGTGAGTCGCTCAGAAGGCTCCTTCCTCAAAAGGCTGCGTATAAGGCACCTGGCTTTGGGAGATATGTGATCTGGAATACAGTACTGTCCACGGCGGATTTTAGAAAACAGCGTGCTCGGGTCTGCATCATGGAATGGGTAGCGTCCCACCAAAAGCGTGAATAGCATCACACCTAAGCTCCACACATCTGCTGATCTCCCAGAATAAGTTCCAGTGGTGTTCAAGATTTCAGGGCTGACGTAAGCTGGGCAACCATGTTTGTCCGACAAAGCGTCATCATCGCCTTTCATGATGTGAGAGTCCTCGAGACTTTCTACTCTCAGCCGAGTCCTGGAATAAAAAGAATGACAAGGTCAGTTTATTGAGGAAAAAAAAAATAACGTGAAGTGTTTTTTAGAACATAAAAGAAATGCATTGCTGGAAATCAGTTGAGAGTTTTTTCATTAGACATATTTATGTATGTGCAGAGAACGAGTCACATTTCTCACTTGGAGGAATGCAACTGATGGACCTGTCTTATACCAGAAGCCTCTAGTGGTCATATCAGGAACTGCATGTTCAGCTGGAATCCTCTGCCAACACAAATTCTTAAAATATGCACGACTAGGAGAACGTCATTAATTGGGGGGTGCTGACTACAGCAATTCTCATTCACATTATTGTAATGAATGCCAAAATAATTAGTTTTCCATTTCAGTGAAACCGATAGTAATACATTCTGGCCTATTTGTAATCAAAGTTTTATTCCTAGTGGAATAAATTGGATTTTAAGCAGAGAATTAGGAATGGGATTTCCTCCCGTTAAGGTTTTAAGGTTAATGCTCAAGTTCATTTTTTAATATAAATATATATACATATATATATTAGGATATTAGGCTGGCCACATTTTTTTTTTATTTTTTTTTAATGGAAACTTAAATAAAACTGCAATGTTATTCTGGAGAGCCACGGTTGCAAGTTGCTAACAATCTTAATAACAAACAAAAAATTTTTCTTCCACTATTTGGTAAATTTGCCCCTTTCTCTATTTTCCTGATGTCCTCAGCCTGACCTCTTGTTCTGCAAAGTGCCTACGGTTCAGCAAACGGAAAATATTACTCAAACTCCACACCACTGTTTGGCAGCCACTAGCGGCTGTCAGACTCAAAACTTGCACCTGTGCCTGTATCACACTACATACCCGTCACAAATGGCTTAGCCCACGGTGGACAAATGTGACGCGTTCGGCATTATTATTAGCATTGCAATGTCAAGTTTCAAAATTAGTGAGCTGTCTGCAACGTGACTCTTTCGACAGCGACTGACTCCACTGTTAGTCAACTCACAATCAAATATTTCCACACATCCCTGCAGGGGCCGAGGGAGCATCTGTAATGCTATGGTTAGGCATCGCTCCACTCGGGTATATAGTTATTATTGTTATTTTTATATCATGCATCTGGCACGCCGTTCTGATTTAAACTCCAAAAACAGCTCCAAAACCGCAAGCCTTAGATAGATCCAATCGTCCTGCCCCAAATATAACCAGCCCTTTCCCTTCAGTGAAGGGACTTCACACTTATCTCAGTCAGTTCACATACCAAGGGCATTGCATTAGCAAATATCTCATCCACAAGAAAACAGAAACGGCTCCTGGCAAAGCTAATCTTGCTGCACTTTACACAGAAGAGTAAATGTTGTCATTGCTATGTGCAGACCCATTAATCACAGAGCTCTGGTAGATTACATCCAAAATATGCTAAGATCTGTAAGTTGAGCGCAAGAGAAAGACGGTAAAATTAAAAAAGCTAAGTATTTAGACAGTTTAACCAGCCACATTCAGCTTTACCGTGACATTCAAACATTTGTAGAGCAACGTGTAACCCAAGGAAGGCATGCACACGGTTATGCAAAATTATGTCATGCTAAAAGAGAAGACAGTCGTAAAGTGTCTATCAACACTTGCATTTAACATCCTGTGTTAGCTGAAAAAATTACAGCAGGTCCAATATTTATAGAACAGCATGTTATCTAGGCCACGCATGGTTTAAAACATTTATAGCACTGGAAATATTCTATTTCTCAAAGTCAATAAAACTTATTTTAATCATCTTGATATCAGGCATTATTGCAATACCTGCCACCATCAACCAGGTCCGGTCCTTAAAGTCTAGGCTAGCAATCTGCAGGGCAGTGCTGGCACAAGGTTGGCACTACAGATGTTTGTTAGCTACAAAATGTCAAGACTGAATGTTATTGTTTTTGTTACATAAAGCAATCTCTCACCTCTCTTTATCGGAGAACACAAACTTTCTCAGTTTGAGATCTCCTAAGACAACTGCATGTTGGTGGCAATGGGACACAGCAGAGATGATTTGTTTGAATAACTTGGCCGCCTCTTCTTCTCCCAGTCGTTTGCAGCTCCGGACGTAAGAGTGCATGTCACCATAGTCCTTTTCGAAAAACACGTAGACTTTGCTCTCCCCTTGAATAACTTCCACTACCCCTGTGATGTTTGGGTGGCAGGGCAACTGGACGTAAGCCTCGATCTGTTTCTGGTAGTGTTTTAATGAAAAGACCTAGTAGGGCAACAACAGGAAAAACAACAGAATTATTTAAAATTCCTGAAATGTATGCAGCACCAAACGTTCTAACAGAGACTGAGCTTTAATATGTGTACAGTGTCAAGATTTAGAGAACAATCTGGGGAGAAAAAAAAAATCGACCATTATCCCAGTGGCGATAAAAGTACTTGTATACAATAAAAATATAGAATCTCCGGTGGGTATAATATAAAAGTTTGGTAAAGTTATTATTTTGGTTAAACATTTAATAAACAGCTATTACTATAACAAACAGGATGTACCACAAGAGACATTATGTATTAGTAAAAAGGAGGCTCCTTGTTTTTAATGGGATGATCAGAGATTACCAGTGTTTTGTGGGAAACCAGCAGCAACCAAGGGAAATAGAATCACTATTGGGAATTATCCAAAACTCCCTATGGCATGCCCAAGACTGAAAGCAGTAGAAAGAAGTGTTCAGTATTCCACATCTTTCAGCGCCTACCAGGCTAGGCTCAACATTGACGTAATTTGTCAAGCCACACTAAGATATACAATTGGTAAAAGAATGTGTGATAGAAATTCTAATTTTTTACAGAGGCGGTAGTTACAGAATAAACAGAGGGGCCCCCAGACTGAACCCTGCAGCTACCATCACTTGTTACCTGATTTCAAAGCAAAAAAAAAGTTTAAAAAAAAAAAAACTAAATTAGAAAATAACAAAGTGGGGAGACAGACTGAGCTTGGAATGTTTTGAATATGCCAACACTGCAAGAATTAGCATGTGACTGCTTTTTAGCTTGATAAATTCAATGCTTAGACTAATGAGATTGCAAATTCTTTGTGTTAGCACTCAGGCAGAAAAGAGCTGTTTAAACCCAGCAGGTCCTGACTATTGTTATTAGAGGTGAGTGACCATAGAACCAGGTACACAGAAATGTGTGTGTGGGGAAGCAGGGAGGGGGGAGCTGGCAGGGGGCACTAATACCACATATATGTACATCACTTGACAGTTACATGGGGAGAAATAAATTGGCAGAGAATCTGGCTGCCTCAGCTGCCCTGTGTATATAAAAGTCCTATTACATTGTGTGCCCTAAGAAGGTAATGGGGTCTTAATGGAATACTGTGAGGGGGGGGGGGGCGTGCAGAAGAGAATAGGGTCTACTCTATTTAAGAGCACAGGTATAAAGGTGATACATTGTTTTTGTTCATGATGGATCTCAAGAGCCAGTGCAGGAAACAATTAGCCGGGTCCCCAGAGAGTATTAACAGGATATATGTATACATCACCCCACTCCAATAAAAATAAAAGGTTCCACCAAACTATCCCCCCAATTTGCAGAGGAGGCAGACAATTACACCCATAACCCCCCAAAAAGTGTCAAATCATTCCAAACAGCAGAGATTTAGCCATCTAATAGAAGGTTTAAAATCACACAAAACAGTCCATTGTGAATGAATGAGAAACACCCCTAATGAGTGAGTGAGGGGGACAGCACCCCAATATTTATATAATGCAGAGCAGGAGATAGGTATCCCATAGTAAGTGCAGGGGTCAGTATTTGTGGGCGCAGGAGGCAGGCTGATACAGGAAGGCAGCCTACCTGCCCTCTAGCACCCCAGTGAGTAGGTAGGTAAGTACAGAATGTAGGTAGGTAGAGGGGGCACCCTCATGGCCTGGGCTCACCTTGCATTGCAGCTCCTCTCCCGTGTGCAGGTTCAGGGCTCTGGAGACATGCTCCCGGTCCCCAGCTGGTAGCAGCAGGTAGTTCCCAAGACAGGTAGGTCCTTGGTGTTGAGGGGTCCCACTGTGGGGAGTTGGGGGGTGAGGGGATCCAGGGGAGGGCAGTAAGCCACTGTCCGGGGGGGTCTCGCTGAGCCTGAGGCATTTAGCCGGAGGCTCATCACTCTCCAGTCTCTTGAAGCGGGGTCTACAGGGGGCCAACCTAGGGGCCCCCAACCGGCTCTCCCTCTGCACGTTGGCAATCATTGGTAAACCCACAGGCAACAAAGGAAACAAGCCTTCACAAAGCAGCAACAGCAGACATCCACCAGTGCCAGATCCCAGAGTCCAGGTTAGGTCAGTGCAGGCAGTATGCAATGTCACCTGGAGCAGAGTTTAAATCCCCTAGGACACCTGGCGCAGAGAGACTTTAAATCCCCCCTGCACGTGGCTCTGCTCCCTTTCTTGTCCAGTCTCTGCAGGGCAGGGGGTCCTGGGGTGAGACTAGTGCATGCAGCTGCTGTGAGCTCCACACTGCATTTGGTTTCTCTGAGCTCTGTGATCACACACAGTATTACACACTGTACCCACCCCTCCTGTGACTCACTGTGTGTGTATTGTATGGATGTGCTGCTAGGGCCATCCCCCAGGGGTTGTGCAATCATACACCATCACATCATCACCATTAAATGACAGACTGAGCTGTATTTATTCACAAAAAGGTCATGGGGAGGGGTGGAGCCCTGCTCTGACACACACAGACTTTCCTAGGGGCCACAGCCCACAGCCAGAGGGGCCCAAAACTCTGCTGGATTGCATCATTCTGTGCACAGCTCTCCTGCTAGATGCTGTTGCTATTATTTGCATCATGCACTGGCATTGAAAGGGTTTAAAATCCTTGGAGTTCCAGAATGGAATGTCACAGTGCAACATGTTGCAAACACTCACAGCACAATCTGTTAGAAAAAGACACTTTGTTTGCAAAAAAACAGCGGAATGCATTGGATTCTTTCTAATTATACAAAACTTTCCTGGTGATGCAGTTCTGGTAGAGAGTAAGCTGCAGAATGCTTTATACAGAACAATCAGCATTTAAACTGGTTTGACTCTGGTAGAATTTAAACAATGTATAGTGATGTAACATTATTGTAAACTTTAATCATACTGACATCAATTATTCTCCCTTATATGATATACATAGGTGTCGGTCTTTCCATGGTAGCAGAACCCACAATAAATTATTAAAAAGGAGAATATTGTCACATTCTTTAACCCCTAATTTCTGAGAAATTCTGTGATCTCTTGTCGTGAGATGAGAAAATACTTGATAATAAAAAAAACTATACCAGATCAAATTACTCAGTTGAAAACGACTTACAAGTGATTTCTGAACCGTCCACAATTTACTGTTTAGTCAATAGTCCCCTTCCATGTGCTGATTTTCAATTTAACAGAGGAGTGTTACCGAGGTTCTCCAGAAGGGGGGGTGCGAGAGCACTGATGCTCAGCTGTTCTCTCAGTTCAATTGTGATCTATTATTTTTGTTTAAACATTTGAATTATTTATTTATTCACTTATTTATTTACAAAATAAATGGGTAAATATGACAGCTGTGAATTCCTGTCCACTTACAATACTGATCTTTGTTTTATAATAAATTAATCTAAGTAGCATTTAATATTAGTAACAATGCTAAACAAGACAGGAGACAACTTTATGTAAAAATGTTTTGTAATTAAAAAAAATATTTAAATTTGCTATTGTGTTTGGGTGAATGACATATAGAATGTAATAGAAAATAACAGCAGCTTCACCTTCCTCATTTCCTCTGGACTGTATTTACATCGGGGCTAAACTTGCTATTCCAAAGTTGAGACCAAATATTTGTCACTTTTTATTTTATATTAGTGAATTGTAATTAACAAACTCATAGTTGAATAATTATTTTTATACTGTGTACTTGTACATGTGTATAGTTTATCTCTTTTAACACCAACGATAATTCGCTCGTAAGAATTTACTTTAAAAAGCTGTAAACCAAATTGAAATAGTACAGATATTTACTAAGTGAAATTGTACAGATATTTACTAAGCTGTATAGAACTGCCGTTACTGGATAAGCAGGCTATTCCTTGCTGTAGGGGGTGTTTGGTTTCTAAATTGCAAAGGATGCATGACTTGTCTTTAGTCCTTAGGGTGTTCAGAGTTTGTTTATAATTAACTAAATAATTAAATAAATAATATGTTTATTATTATTACTGGCAATTATAAGGCACCAACAAATTCTGCAGCGCTGTACAATTGAGGGAGAAAACAGTAAAATAAACACAGACTAATGCAAAAAAAAGGTAAATAGGGGACAGCTCGTGAACTGATATCTAACCATTAAAGTTATTTTATACAAAGTACTTAGCTGGATAGCTATGAGCTTACTGTCTAAAGAAAACTGTATTGCAATACATACTCATGTGAAATCAGCTCAAAGTGCATTATTATTATTATTATTTTATTTATATAGCGCCAGCAAATTCTGTAGCGCTGTACATAATTGTAATGTATGGGACCTGCATGAATGTATAGATATTGCATGGTCTATGGTCAGAGAGAACGGTGTTTTTGAACAAAATTATTTTTACAAATGGCTGCCGCCAAAGGTCAAAAATAATCCTGCATATGACAAAAAAAACCAAGTATTTATGTATATGTGTACATTAGAAAATACTATAAATAGAGGCAGTATTATAGAATCTTTTATTTTCAATAAAATAGAAGATTATGACAGTTTCCCTTTAAGTCTAGTCCTGAAATTGTTATGTACAATATTCCAAGGTTCTCAGATAGTGCCATTTGAGTTTATTGTCCAACTTATTCCAGCTACTAATGTATAGTCTTTTATTACCAAGAGCGTCTTCTAACGTGAGTCATCTGATCATGTAAAATATCAATGAGAGATTCCATTCACAGATGGCAGCGTTTCCGGAGTGAAAGCACTTTGTGTTCATTGCAAAGTGCGATCATATTTCAGAATGTTTTATTAGACTGATTTGCTGTCAGAAAATCGAAGCAGAGGCAAGTTTGGCTCTCTTATAGTGCGCTTTGATTTGAAATAAATAACATTAAAATAGGATTCTTTTGTTGCCTTTTATTTCTAATTTGGGTTCACATCATGAACAAGGCTGAGACAGTATACACACCCATAATGCCTTGCACATGGGTGCTTGTACGTGTGTGAATACATTTATTCCAGTGAAAGGAATGCTTGATATCGAACACTTTATTTTAGAAATGATACATCATGGAAAGCTTTCAGTCCCAGGAAGTGGATTTAATTTCACTTCTCCACGCTTCAATCTAATAAATACTTTATCAAAGTTTCTTGGGGTTAGGCCAGAACTGTGACCAACCGGAAGGTCATCATACGTCTTAAATGGACACTATGAGCAATGTAAAAAGTGACAGCTCTGTGCACTGTATGTTTCCTAGTATCTCTGGCTTTGCTGCCCCACTTTTAAGTCAAACAATTTAGGGAAAGTTTGTCAAAAACAAAATGGCCAGCACTCTTAGCCAATCACCACTGTCCAGGTGGGATATTCTGATATTGGCTAAAGTTTTAATTCTGAATTTTTGGTATGGCTTCAGGTAGTCTTCAGGTAGTGCAATAGCTCCTAAACTGTTTAAAATTAAACTAGGGAACTGCTCCCAGAGGCCGTAGTCAACGCCACTACTAAACCGAGCTGTATTGCAACATTGTTTACAATGAAAGTGTTCTAAAGCACTCTTTTACTAAGGTTGGGAATCTGTCATTTTCAAAACCCGTACAAGTATAGTAAACGCGGTTTAACTGATAATATTCACTGGAAAGAAAAAAACAAAACAGAAACAATGGTTGAATATAAATGCTTGTCTCCTGCTGAGGGTGATAATTAGATTTGCATGTTAATGAAGGAAGTGGCACTCTGTTTTCCTGCTCCAAAATAACTGATCAAGTGTCTACGTCCAGGGTGTAGATTATTCAATTTCCTAGACAGCTGCGTATTGCCCTATCTGCACCCTATACAAAATCCAATAGACTGACCACAATACACAAAGCAGCCACATAGCTAATTGCTTACAGCAGCTGTCAAGTGTTCATGCAAAATTCATACAGAGGGACAGTGCAAATCCAATTAAAGCACCTAGTCTGTTTTACCAGGAAACCATATGACACAACATAGATATACTTACACGTACCGATCAACAATTCACTTTGACAAATTTCACATCAAGCATCATTATTATCATTATTATTATTGCTAGCGTTTTTATATAGCGCCAATATGTTCCACAGTCCTTTACCGTTGTAGAATGGGAATAGTTAGAGGTGACGAAGGCCTTGCTCACACAAGCTTACAATCTATGAGGATTTGATGTAGGCGGATGGATATCGTTGGGTGTCTTCCCCAAGGACGCTTATTGTGGACTGTCACACTAACTATCATTGCACTGCAGCCCTGAGAGAGCAACATTGTTACAACACTTTCAAATAGGCAGAAATTGTCTATTTTTAAATATATTTTTGTTTTAATAAACTCTACGAGTAATGCTTATATCATGGTTTACTTGTTAAATACATTGTATACTCCTTATTGAACAGAGTCTTGGCTCTCGGTGGTAGGAGTGGTAGTCCCTATAATTTATTAGCTGTTATCAATAGTATTACAATATTATTTGTCTCCCTTTGTTCTTTTTCTATATACACTGGATAAACATTATGATAATTGAGACATCATTGCTGAACATAGGGATGTGGTTACACTATTAGAAACATAGAAACATAGAATGTGACTATTTGCGCTGCACTTTATTTTTCATATACATTGTTACTGCACTGTTTAGTACACCCACACTGTAACTCTCCGCTAACAGGTTTTATACTGAAAATAATCACCAGTAAGCTCTAACATGTTTTCACGTTTTACCAAAGTACTGATTTTGCAATACAGCCCTGGAATTTACCTTGAATGTAATCTGGATTTTGGCTTGTGTAGATGCTACCGGCCAACAGAATTCTGAACCTAATTAGAAAAAGACAACCGAAAAGTGTCAGTAAGACAGACCCGGCAGTTTAACTGAAATTCAAACGAATGGCTGAATTCCGGAACCGAATTCCAGAAATACAATACAAAGCTCAGATTCAATATAGTTACATAGTTACATAGCTGAAAAGAAACTTGCGTCCATCAAGTTTAGCCTTCCTCACATATGTTGTTGCTGTTGATCCAAAAGACGGCAAAAAACCTAGTCTGAAGTGCTTCCAATTTTGCCACAAACTAGGAAAAAAATTCCTTCTTGATCCCAAAATAGCAGTCAGATATCTCCTTGGCTCAAGCAGCTATTACCCCACTAATTAGAAATTATATCCCTGTATGTTATGTTTTTGTAAGTATTTATCCAATTGCAGTTTAAACATCTGTAGTGACTCTGACAAAACCACCTCTTCAGGCAGAAAATTTCATATCTTTATTGCGCTTACTGTAAAAAAACCTTTTCTTTAGCCTAGATGAAATCTCCTTTCTTCCAGCCTAAATGTGTGACCTTGTGTCCTATGTATAGCCCTGTTTATGAATAGATTTCCAGATAAAGGTTTGTACTGGCCCCGAATATATTTGTATAAAGTTATCATATCCCC